ATGCATGATCATCTTGGCCGAATCACCTATACTGGAAGGTTTATCGAAGGAATGGCCGAATTTCTCCATTCGGTAAGCGGTAATCTAATTCAACAGCATTCAATTCATGGCTTCGCTTAATTCGCACTAGGCGAAAACGGCTAGTCCCACAATTGCGGCCCGGCCATTTTAAATTGGGATCCCGTCTCTCCCCACTTAGCTTTCCCTCCTCCACCCTCTCCTGCTCCACCACACCAGCATGTCTCCTGAGCAGCAACGACGACAACAAAGCTCTGTGGAATGTATAGCAGTTGCTTGAATCTTATATAGAAATTGCTTTATTTCATTGTCTACATGATGTCCGACAACGCTCCTTTTCGTGTATTTCTCAGTGTAGTCGCGTTTCTCGTCTCGTGTTTGTGTTGACGCGTTTCGAGGTAGCTCTTCCTGTTTCCAATTGATCTCTTGTTTCGTCAATGTGTTCTCTCTTCTTTCCTTTCCTTTCCTTATTTCTTTCTCATTCTCTTGAGCCAAGGGTATTACACCCCGGCGACGACAGGTTCCCTCGTGAAGTCATGAGCGGGTGTCGGTTGCTGTATGCCTCTAATACCCAAATCATCTGGATACTAATAAGCATGTTGGCGCAATCTGAATCATGTCGTGTGTCCGCATGAAAGTCAGTATCCTACATTTCCTCAAACCAAACCCGGGTGGCGCGTTGACAGAGCGTGCTGGGTGGCCAAGACCGTTGCCCCGTCTTGTGCAGTGGGTTCGATTCCCACCATGGGTAGTTGTCTCTGTCGTTAACGGCATGGTTCCATGAGGATTGAAAAACTTGAAGCTGACTCCGCTTCGTTTTCTCCTCGTCTCACTGCGCGGTTGAAATTTGCTACTGTGCGTGGCTTTTGAGGATTGACTGGCTTCGCGTCCCCATCCGCTTGGCCTATTCCTCGTTCCACTGCTGAGCACTTCCGGCTATTGTGCGTGATTGAAGGAACTGAACTTGTTTGACTTTGTTGGCCTTGTTGATACATACGTCGTGGCCCTGGACGTACAACTTATGGTCGAACATATCACAAGATTCGTCGGTTGACTGTCTGCCTCTTCTGTGAGCATGGTTATCGAGTCTTCACATCGAACCCGCATGTCCATCCTGGGATCCCAGGACGATAGCGGTTGTGTCGATTGACATTGCTGACTTGTTACTGTTCGCATTGACTGAGTGCATGAGCTTCAGCCTGACCTAGTTACCGTCTTTGTCTGTTGCTTAATGGAGGCTTCTCTCGTTGGTAACATGAGTAAGACGAAAGGTAGTTGAACGAAGGCCGTGTCCTTGCTATCCTGTCTACGTGGGATTGAGCGCGACCTGAGCCTGGTTTCATCAAGGGACTTGACACTGTCATCATGGCGCTGCCTTTGATACAAGTTGAACATACGCCCGCTCGATCAGAGTCACATGTATTTGCTTCTTGCCATTGTCGCATCGGGGTAGCAGCCCCATTGCAGAAACGACGGCATCAAAAGCAAAAGCAAATAGGGTTATCAAATCGTGTCCCCATGTTACAGCGAGCGTGCGTTCTTATTCTTCGTATGCCCACATGGCTCGACCGACTAGTACTCTATATATGTGGCTTCGACCGATCTCCGCATCAATCTTGCTGATGCCTGACATTCAGGCGCTTGTATGCGGGGTTGTTGGATAACGGAACGACCAAAGACGTTATGTATAATGACCGCGGTCGTGCTGATGCCTGACATTCAGGCGCTTGTATGCACGGCCACGTCTTATGAATTGACGACTCGACTTCCGAGGAGATTGGCACTCACGCCATGCTATTGTTTTGGGGGATTGCATCGTGCAGTTCTCACACACAATACTGGCGGCGTCTTCGTGCTTGTCGCCAAGGTATGATAAACAACTGGTTTCTCTTCCTATGGGGTCCCTTCGAGGCTGCATAGAAGTTGGGATACACCGGTGTCTACCGTCGGCGTTGCAAATTTTGGCTACTTCGCGTTCGCCGCGAACCGCCTGTCTACTGTACCCGGACCTTGCCTTCGGTTGATTTTTCGCTATGGCTCGCTGTCTCGACTGGTGTCTCAGTAGTTTCTTTCGGGGCTCGGAATTTCCCGAGTTCATCGAATTTTTGTTTTGAATCATTCGGATCTTTCCGAATATGCGGGCCATGCGGGTTCGCGTTTCTGTGGGTTTGTGAGTTGTGTGGGCTTGCGGTTCTGAGGGTCCTGGGGGATTTGGGTAGGAGTGGCGAGCAGGGTTCGACTCCTTGTTAGCAGCGCCCGGCTGGGGGCAAAGCACCTCCTTCCCGTCGGTCTCGAGCCGGTAAAAACAAAAACAATATCGCTGCTATTGCGTTTCCCTGTTTTGCCATTGGGGATCGTTATGGACGCTAACAATACTTGGTTTTAGTTTCCGCTGAAGAAGCTTCATTGTTCGAAGATCGACTTCTATCCCGACTCTCCGCCTCTTCACACATTGCAACCCTCCCCGGACATGGTCTCACGTCCTGCATTGATCAAAGAGAAAGTGGTAAAGATGGCGATGGACGGGGATACTGGTGGATGTCTTCTCGTGGTGGTTGACGTGATATAGGAGTCCGTCTGTGCCTGGCGGATTTCAGCTCCTCGGTCCACAAATGCTCACCCACCTGATATCATTGATGCACGATCACCTTTACCGCATGCGCGTATCGAGCATTAAGAAATCCGCCATGGTCTTTCGCTCGGCACCGTACATAGGCGTGTTTCACGACGATTACCTGCTCTGGACATACCTTAACAGCCTCAGCCTCCAAGTTGAATGTCACTGACATCTTTTCCAATACCTTGGTGTCGTGCTCCGGTTGACTGCGAGGGCCCGCGTGTAGATGTCTTTGGTTGGCTCTCTCACTTGTCTCTCTATCAGAGTACTATACTGGTACAGGTTTTTACTGTTCCATTCTCATTGCTCGACCTTTCCGAATCCTAAGAGTTCCCCATCGTACATACGGGCACAACGCAATCGGATCAATGAAACGTATATACGTCAGTGGACTCGCAATGGGGTTCTACACCCGATGTTGAAATGGTGTTAGTGGAAATAATCAATCGACAGACGGAAAAGGAGCTTGGCTCCAGCGCAGATCGTKAATATATATCATTGTACATAATCATCAACACCTAGAACCACTTGAGTCTATGCTTAAAAAGATGTAACAATACAGGACAACCAGAGCAGTATCTATCACGCGATACTTCCCAGCACAAGAAATAGAGTTGATATCAGGATACAAATCCAATCTCCACAGGCGTTAGCGACCCGCCTGTGGCGCGAACTGGGACCACTGAAAATCTCTGCAAATTAGACTTTCGAAGTCCTGTGTCTAGCGGTGTCCACTGCTATCTGCCATCTATTACCATCCCCCCCGTCTTGATCCCTGAAGACACTTTGTCAAGTCCTTACTTCTGCGACAACCCTTGTTGAACAAACGATGCATTCCGTTAGCAAGGGTTGAATCCGGTCGCAAACGAGGGCAACCAATTCAACACATCAGACTCCCACAGATTATCCATACTCATACCCGAGCCGAAGTGGGAAGAGCAAATTATTCGCAAACAATTTTTTTTTTTTTTTTTTTTTGGCAAATTTTCGCTCACCTGGTTAAATCCTTTTCAACGTGAATAGTTGCGTCGAAACGCGAATGGCGATATGAATTATAAAACTAGAATAGCATTACTAACAACGGACGCGTAGCTCAGTTGGTTAGAGCGACGAGCTTATGAGGTCGTTTGTGATCCTCGTAGGTCGGGAGTTCGACTCTCCCCGTGTCCATGTTTTTTATTTTCATTTTGTTGTGTATAACGCACTCGCCGCACCAACATGAACGATTCATTACCGGCAGATTACAATTTATTTACTCGTTTATTGCTGTTGTATTTCATTGGAGACTATGATATCCTCGTGTGATAGTTTCTATCTATTACTGCTTCTTGGTGCAAACCAGGTGATGCTCTGTCCGTTATCATCGAGCAGTTCTCAGCCCATTCTTGTTGACCTTCTCAGTCACAGTAGTTTATGGAGTAGTAGCCATACGACTTTGTCGTGCACTTCGACAGGATCATGTCCAATGGTAGCGCTACTCTGTGGCGAAGCCGTATGTCAGGGGAAGATTGTTATTGTCAAGCAATGTAGCTAAGCTAAGCTGTTGATAACAATCTAGTGCTACGTGACCAGGGACATACAACAACATCCCCGATGAGGAAAGAAAGAAGGGTGAAAAAAAGGAAAACATATGCCATCATTAAAGAACAACAGCAATGGAAAAACGTGTCAATCATCTATCAAACGGATAAGGACGAGGCATTCGACGAATCAACTCGGCGGAGGATGTTGTTGGCAGTTGAACCAGGAAATGAGGCACGGTCAGACAGGACAACAGAGTAGTAGGTCTGAACGAACCTAAAGGTGTCGCTGTCAGGATAAACCGCGCAACTGAGGTTGAATATGCGCTGACGGAAATTGTAAAACAATGCAGGGAGAGAAGTGGTAGAACCTGGATATCACTGAAGCAGGAAGGCGTAAGACGCAGCCGTAAAAACGGCCTCTGCAGGTAGAACAAAAGAAAAAAAGTGTTGGTGGAGTGGCCACTGTGTACCAAATGTAAAATCAAGGTGCCTTATAAGACAAGGGAGAAAAGAACACATGCCCAAAAGGATGGAGCCACAAGGAGGGTTGTAATGTATCATGCAAAGAAGGTGGGGTGTGTTTCTTTGTTGCACCAAGTTGTTCGAGAGCTTCCATCACGTATGTCCTGCCCTTGGCAGTCATTGCCCAATCATCAACGCCTTTCGATGAAAGTGCTGCCCTGTCGGTGGCATTACAGGTGAAGTAGCACTGTTCGATGCGTATAAGTGCCCTCATCGCTTTGTGGCTAAACAATGAGTCCTTGGTATATCCTGGTGCTTTTGCTAGGGTGCGTTGCAGCGCGGTTGCTGGTTTGCCCCATGGGAAGGCCGTGGGATCCTCATCAATCCTTAAATTCGTCACTTCCAACTGTTTAAGAGATGCTGGCCATGCAGTGCTATCACTGCCAATATGCTGAGGGAGATTGTACTTTTCGAGTAGGTCCTCATCTGGCCCGGGAAGACCAGCAGCATCCCAAACTGCGTGTCTATAAGCTACCCAGTCCAGGTAGAGTGAGAGGTTGTCAGGCAATGTGAGTTGTCTGGTGTCTTCATCTTCATCGTCACTAAGCTTGAAAAAAAAGCGTTTCTTCTGGCTGGCACCCATCGTGCTTCGAGTCTTGGGTTTGGTAAGGTTAGAGATCGCCCGATTAACCTTGTCGATTGATGACCGCAGATCTTTCAGTCGTTGTGGCACAAATTGGGGTAAAGGGGGGCCGCGCGGTCTGTTCCACTGCAGGGGATATACATGGCGCTTGTCTGGCACTTCTGCATCGCCGTAATAGAACGTATCAAATTCGCCATTGTCTTCCTTGCGCAGCTGTTGTTTTTCCAGGTACGGATTTTGCCATAGCCTTGTCATCGTGGATTGGCGAGAGCTTGGCCTGGTGGATTGATGATAGTAAAGCCACCTCCCATGCTCGTTGTTCATTGCGAAAATGAACCATCTTGAATGTGTACTCGCCGTAGGCTTGTTCAAGTTGCATAATCTGATCTTCAAACGATGACTTCGCTAGCTTAAGCCGATCGATGTCGTCGCTGTACGATGGGTGTAGACAGCAGTCCTCTGACCTCACTGTTTCCCCTGTGGAATCACACAGCTCGTACTATGGCGAGCAGGTCTTTGCTTTGAGGAATGTCGTGGTGTATGCCAATCTGTAAAAACAATCATGCGAGTTGTTGTAGCTGTATGGGAAGTCTTTGATAATGCCAACCGGTGTCATGGGAACCTTTCCTTCCTGGAATTTCGGGACAGACGGTGGTGCAGATTTCAATGGAAACTTAGCAAAGTCGATAGCGACCCTCCATTCGCGCGGCATGAATATAAAAGGGTCGTAATCAAGGTCTTGCGCCACTTTCTGAGAGTCCTGAATGCGCTTTTCCAGAATAAAATCTGCCTCAGCAGCTGCAGTACCCTTGTTCTTCTTCGCAGGTGGCCGTGTTGCTCTCATAGTGTAATCGTCGGTGGTGTCAATACTGTGCAGCATAGACTCTGTGATAAGCGAGGTGTTAGTCGTAGGCTCTACCGCGACTCGCCTGTGGTAGGCTGTTCTTCACGCCGCTCCGTAGGAGACGGGCGTGGCTCAGGTGTCAGAGGGAGAACTCGGCCAAACAATGCTCAGTCAACTTTGTCAAAAACGTACCAGTTGGGATTTGAACCGATCGATTCGGAGAAACCATAGGCGGTGCCTCAACTATCAGGTTTGGAGATGAAAGAGGCGATTCGCGTCTGAGTGAGACATGTAGATGAGGTATGGAAGGAAGAAGTGTTGTGTGAGGGTGCGATGGAAGATAGGTTAACTTACTTATTGTTATCAGGGACTAAAAGAAGGGGTGAATAGTGAGCCAGATGCAAATAGCCATGATACTCAAACAATGAATAGGCAAAGAAAAAGCAACACAAATAATTGCTCAAAGAAATATATGGGAATAGCCATATAGAAACAACCACTCTGTATTTTGGTGTGCACGCATTCCTAGATCCTTGAGGTGGACTTGCAAGCAGCTGAAGGATTCATGTTCTTTGTAAGTAACATCATCAAAGGCATTCTTTCTGTGTAAACTGACGTGACTTTCCCTTCGCGGGACCTCGAGTCAGTAGCATGTTTTTCGGTCTTGCGGCAGCTGGATGATTGTGGCATAGTGGGGAACGTAAGACTGCATCCAACCGGTTAGCCTAACATACATATCCATGCCATGAAGTTCAAAGCGAAGCTTGGATGAGCGAGACTGCTGTCAATCTCAATCGTGGGACGCAGGATTCTGTCCTTCGGCATAATATTACTTACCCAACTTGCTCAAAGTCAACACATCGTGTGATTCAAGGCCTAGGGGCCACCATGACTGTGAGCTATGTGCCGATGCAAATGGGACTAACAGACAAGCATTTATTCTATTAAGCTACGAAGAAGCTACGCGGAAGACAGTGCACTGACAAGTATACAGAGATATCAATTATTAAAACTATATTGCATACAGACGGATCCAAGCCGGTGACCCAGACCCGACGGTCGATTAACAAGTACAAAGATCGGATGGAAAGCCGACAAGCCCGATGGTGTCATTGCCATTGTCCTCGCATAACGCTCTCATGAACCGATCGTTGGAACCTTTGGTCTTGCCTCGTGAATGATCATCATCAACGTTCCCATCGCATCATTGCGTTGCTCTCCGCCGTCCGTCGTCCGACTTGTGTTTGACAAGAGTCAACAGTCAAAGTCAGAAAGGAAGCGCTTAGAAAGCGACGGCGATGGCGGCAGCGACGACGGCACCGCCGAGAGAGTAGCTGAAGTGCTCCTTGCTGGCGGCGCCAGTGGCGAGGAGGTTGGTGCTGGTGGAGGCGGTGGCAGAGCCAGTGCCGGAGCTGGAGCCGCTCTTGGTGGGGGTAGCGCTGCCGGAGGGGCTAGCGCTGCCAGAGGCGGTGCCGGTGGGGATGACGGCGGTGGAAGTGGCCGTCTTGGTGGTGGTGCCGGTGGCAGTCGCGGTGGCGGTCTTGGTCTCAGTGGCAGAGGCAGAAGAGGAGGAAGAAGATCCGGTGGAGGTGGCGACGTCCTTGTAACCGTCGATACCCTTCTGGATGGCGGCGGTGATGCCGGCGGAGAGCTGAGCGGCGATGTCGGAGAGGGACGAGGGGACCTTGGCGGAGATGGCCTTGGCCAGGTTGTCGGCGGCGGTGTACTGGGACTGGAGCTGCTGGTAGACGGTGCTACCGGCGCCGGCGGCGACGAACTTGTCCTTCTTGGAGATGAGGTCGTTGACGACGCCCTGGACCTGCTTGGTCAAGTCTTGGACGGGGGAGGTCAGAGCCAGAGCATCGGTGGCGGTGAGGGCAGGGCCGCTCTTGACGGTGTCGACACCGGAGTTGATGGTGCTGACGAGCTTGTCAGAGGCGGACTTGACGCCCGAGGGGTCACCACCGTTGAAGGAGGAGACGGCGGAGGCCAGAGCAGAGACCTGGGCGGAGATGTCGGAGATGACACCGGTGGCACCGCCCTGACGAGAGACCAGAGTGGGCGTGGCCAGGGCACCGGTGAGGCCGAGAGTGACGAGGAGGGCAGAGAAACGCATCTTGACCAACGAAGGGTATTATAGATTAGTTGTATCTAAAAATGTAGTGTATAGATGGACAGAATCGAGTGGGCCAAACGAATGGGATCGACCGAGCAAGCGAAAGACTGGATCTGATTTTCTTTGGGATCTGAGAGACAAGAGGAAGAATGGATCGAGCAGTGACCTGGGAGGTTGTATATATATGGCCTGGTACAGGGATTTAAGATTAAACCTCACATGCACGGGGGGAAGTAATCTACGGACCTGAACTTGGGACCGAGGAAAGTCGGATCAGGGGCAGCTTCCCGGATTCTAGCCATGGATGACTATTCTTAGACCATGGCTACTGCCTACGAGCATGTATTGACTGGACTCTACAGTAGGTACGTTCGAGTCTTTAGTCGCCAATCACGAAGAAGTGACCGGGATCCGGGGAAGCGCAACGAGGGATTAATCATAGTGTGGATGGATGGGGTAAGATCGTCGGTCTGGACTCTGTTTGATTCGAGTCGACAGTAAGATCACGGCCTGTTGATCCTCAGCCTGGGTTGCTACTCGATGGCTAGGGGAGGACTGGAAAAGCAGACCTTACTCTAGTCGATATCCATGGATACCTAGGGAACCCCCATACAGTCACACCCGAATAGGACAATCCTCCGCAGCTAACATGTTAGCGCTGCAACATTGATCTTTTTCGCGTTCGAGATTGGTAGAGTCCCTGGCACTAATGGCCTAGTCCATAGGCGCTAAGTGATAAACAGTAAGGGACTGGTTATCACCTCATCACCCCAGTCCCGCCCCCGCATCCTCATTTGCTCCTCTATCGGAACTCGGGTTCGTCCTAAGCGATGTTAGTGCGGGTGTGGATGACTGGATGACTGGATGAAAGGAAAAGGGTGAGACATGGAGAATGTTACCCCGCACTCTGACTGGCTCTTTCCATGGATTCTGTTGGATGATATTTCTCGCGGGTTCAGTGGCAAAGACCAATTTTTTAGTCACTTGATGCAAGCTATGAAGCAGAGAGTCAAGGATCCGGAAATTACTTACTCAATTCTATCCGTAAAATGCCTTAGAAGGTGGTGTGATGTTGGTTCAAATTGCCTAATAATAATGCAAGTGATTTCTTTCCCCATCTTCTCCCCAGACAACAAATGCTTCAGTTTGGATCTGCGTCTTGGTCTCATTCTTTATCAATGCGTTTGATCTCCGATTTCGAAACTACCGAAAACGAGATCGAGTTACACGCTCTCCATTCTCGAGACTATCGTGTTACCCCGTATTCCCCATGTAAAATCCGCCTCGGTTGCTCGTGCTGGACCCTCTCTGACTGTAAGCTTGCAAAGGTGGCGAAGTTCGGATCCGCCAAGTTGTTGGTACCAGCGGGGGTCCCCAGCAAGACAAATTTCCGTGCGCCCTTTGAGCTGCTCGAATTACGAGTGCTGCTGGTTTGTAACTGTTTACTACTCCGTACTGTATTGGTTTGGATTCAGTACCTGCCTGTCCTCGGTGATGATTGGTGATCTGCATTCGCACAGGTACATGGTAGTAAATAAGTGTCAATAGTAAGACCTGACAAATATCGGCCTCAACTCCGCGGTAGCTCCAACTAGGATTACAGACTACAGCAGAGTGGGTACAGGATCAGACTTCAAGCTGCAGGAGCCGTGCACAGTCTAACCTTTCACTGAGACTACTGAGCTTAGTCCAAAATACCAAGCTGTCCGTCAATAGTTCGGCTGACTTGCAGTAAACACGGTTTTGGTGGCACGAAGGACTGGGCTCGAAGAGTCGACTTCCCTTTTGAAGATCGATGTCCATTCTCGAACCTTCGACTTTTTTTTTTCAACGCCTCGATACCTGACGTTCTGACGCCACGATACGTGACGTTCTGAAGTCTGGAATCTTGACACTCTGTAAATTCTCCATACGACCGACAACCGCTGCCCTTATTGTTAGGCTCAGTCACGGGACATTCGCACAGCTTTCCCAATGGGACATGGTCTGTCCTAGCCACAAATTGCACAATTGATTGATTGGGCTCCAAGACCTTGCCAGGGATGGCGGCCGTTAGGCCCGGCTCTTAGCCAGGGACTGATGCAACGACGAGTCAGAACATGGAACATGGGCAGGGTGGTGGCGAAAATACGCATTTTAATTCCAAGTTCTTGCATAGGGTTCCTTAGGTCTGCGTTGGTCAGACGCCAACATCCGCTAGACCAGCCTCCTCCGTTTCTGTAATTCAGCCAATGGACTAAAATGGTTACCTTGCGGCGTTGACAGAGTTGAACGCTTAGCGCTCCTTTTGGTCTGTTCGTTCTTTCTCGTACCAAAGATCGTCATTGGTCGCCCCTTAATATAACCTGTCCGGGGAGAGCTGATGGCAGCAAGGAAGAAACGTTGTCGTCAAATGGCGTCATGTCTGGATACAGAGCACATGTGATCATCTGGCCGTCTATGGACAGGGCTTAATGTAGTGGCAATGGGTGGCCTAAGATCCTTTACTCACCGTTGGCACGTCAGATCTCAGAAAGTGTCGTGTTGCAGCGTTGCGATGCTCAAATTCAGGTAGTGTCTCATACTCTGGCCTGAGTGGACTCATGAATGACTGATCTTAACTAATACGTTGCTTGAAACAGGATTATGTCGATCATACAAGGCCTGATCGTGGCCTCCCGCCCTGTGTCGCAAAATTAGAGCAGGAAGACGGGAGTTTGATCATCTTTGAGCTTCAAGACAGCCACAAGAAATTTCCCAATCGTGCTTGGAATTCACTTACGGCGCGTCTCTATACCATCTTCTTCTCCCACGTGCGAATATCTGCCTTCCAATTTGTGACTGCTCAAGACGATGTGTTCGCATTTGGAAGGAATGTGTCTGAGCCTTGAAACTCCAAGTACAA